TCTTTCTATTCTCTATGTCTATGGGATCAACTTTCTTAGCTCTCACATATGAGTGGGAACATACGGTGTTTGTCCTTCTGTGTCTGGCTTATTTCATTTAACATTATGTCTTCTAGTTCCATGCATGTTGGTGCAAATGACGTGATTTCATTTTTAACGGCTGAGTAGTATTCCATTGTGTATATATGCCACATTTTCTTTCTTTTTTTAAGAAACTGACTTTTGCTTTATTGTGTAATTTACACAGGAGAATCCCAAATTCCACACTTGGTTTTTCTCTTCTGCCTTCGTTATTCTTTCAATATGTATGTCAACAGACATCATTTCTCCCAATAGCATATGCAGTTTGATCCTCAACCAGGACACACAGGCCCTACAAAATTCCAACCCTCCAAGACGGATGCCTGGGCCCTCCCATTTGACTGCACCCACGTCTGTTTGTACGGGGGCTCTGCCCTGGTCCTGTCACCCCTGAGGCGTCCTTAGGGTACGAATGCCAAACAGGCTCCGTGTGATGTGTCAGCTCTGAATAAATACAAGAGGCTGCTAGGAGCCCCCAGCTGAGGATTGAGAGACAGGCTGTATCTGGGCTCCATTTCAAAGAATGCTGTGATCCATTAGCAATGTCTGCCATGGGAATACCCATTAGAAGTACCTGGAAGGAGGGTTTTGGGGAATGGGCTCAGAAAGGAACAAGGTGTGTCCGTTCCATTCTTGCCTTAGGTGGCTGTTCTGCCACCCAGGCTGTGCTGTCTCAGTGGCCAGGTGGCTGAGGAGGAAGTCTGAAGGCCACAGAGTTGCAAGTGGCTTCCCTGGGGCCTGCAGGAACAGCATAGGCCCCAAGCTAGAGGAAGCTTGGAGGGGCACCCACACTGGGTCCTGTGGGGCTCTGCATACTGCAGGCCACCCTGGCATTAGCTCCTTATCCTCTGGAGTCCATCTCATCCGGGAAAAGACAGCTGGCTGGCCTCAGAGCATTAGAGGCAACTCAGGGATAAAAACATTTTTACATGGTACGGACACAGAAATGGGCTTTACCTCCGAATAAACTTAGAAACTTTCCATCCGAACTAAAAGGGTGTATCTTCTATATGTTGCCAAGAAACCTAAACTGAGTACAAGGACAATTTTACTTTAATCAAGTTCCAGAATGAGGGTACTCAGCTTCGAAAAGCAGTTTGTAGCAGAAGATGCGAGGGTGTGTGTGAAGCCATGTTTCTAGAATATACCAAAGGAAAACACACACAACCCCAGCGTGGCCTTTTGCCAGCCCTCGATGCTGCTCTCTACTGGGGGCAGGTGGCTACTTCGTCCAGCTGACTCAGGAATGTAACGCTCTGTGAGTGTGTCCAGGTGTCTGTTGGCTTGCGGGTTTTGGATCCTTCCTTCCTTCCTTCCTTCCTTCCTTCCTTCCTTCCTTCCTTCCTTCCTTCCTTCC